AGCCTGTCTCTCGCCGAATCCCAAAAACCGTTGCTGATTAATGTGCTGACCAACCCCATGGCACAACGCAAGGCTCAGGACTTCGACTGGCCCACTCTTGAGCAAAAATACATTATTCCATTTTTTTTTTCTGAATTCTACAAATGCAATGGACATTTTGACACTGCATCTTCACCAGAATTAAGGGCAGTAATGTGATGTGAATGACTTATTTCACAGTCTAGAATTATTCATTCTCATTCATTCTTATTCTCAAAAAAAGGGGAGTATGAATAACACATCACAGTATTAGGCTACATATAATAACAAAACATTAATCATCGGAGTTACTTGAAGAATATGAGTTACATGCCTTGCATATAAGCATGAATTATTAATTTTGTGTCACACACATACACACACACACACTCGCACACACACATTAATCACATGATTGCACACATACCTATTAGTTTCACAACTCACACACTGAATCGCTCTTACGTACACACACGCTGTCACGCACATTAGCCATCATCACCCACATGCTATGAGAGTGACTCATGCTACCACAGATACACTAAGCTATAACCTATACCATCGCACACATAATCCTACACTCACGCTATATGACAGAGAGGTCTTTGACTCAAGGAAAATGAGTGGTGTCATTTGGGAAAATTTTGGAGTAATTCATTTCGGTTTCCCAGTTCAAGTGTTGATGCGTAGATAAGTATTGCTTATACAAAATCCTTAATAAAAAGTCTTTCGAAACCGAGCATAGGACTACAGCTGACCAGAAAACTATTACAAAGATAGAAGTGCCCCCCTCCCCCCCTCAATTCTATGCTCGTTGTTAGAGACAAGAGAGAATGAGGAGAAGAGAAGAGGAGGGAAAGCAAGAGAGATGTGGGAGAGAGAGAGAGAGGAGAAGCAGAATAGGAAGAAGACAAGCAGGGAAGAGTGCGGAAAAGAAGATGGAGAAGGAGGAGGAGGAGAGAGGGAAAGAGAAGACGAAAGAGCATGTCCCAGAAGAAGACAAGAAGAAACAGCAGGAGGAGGGGGTGGCTCGGATAAGAAGGAAGAACAAGCACTGTGGAGGTACTGGAGACGGGGACTGAAGCCCAATGTTAGGGATCGTCCTAATCTTTGTCCTCACTCTCGGTTCAGGCAATATTACATGCTCTCTTCCCCCCCCCCTCTCCTTTCATTTTCCTTCTCTCTTCATTCCTTCTGCCCACTTCCTAAGATGTAAGAGCCGTTCTGAAAGGATGAAAGGCTGGATTTGTGTCAGCTGAACGGCCTCGGGGTAGCCATGGGCACTATATTCCTTTGGTTAATCATTTAACTGTTTCTCTTCCCCACATATTTCAAGGCTCACCATAATTAAAATTTTATACTCTCATTAAGGGCATCATGGCGTTGCCCCTTCATCAAACAACCCATTTAAACTTGACGACTCTAGTTATCCGACCCCTGGCTCTCCTTTGACCACAGCTCCGACCACTGATACTAATACTAATACTCGATGTTTGCTGTCAACCCTAGCCATTCTGAATTATCTTCCCCGTTCATTACTCAGTCTTCAGAATGCATCTCTTCCTCTTTCTCAAAATCCTCCAATCCATCTCCTTCTGAACAGTATTCCTAATTTTCTTTCCTCTCCTCTCTTATCCCTACTCTTCATCCTAATTTTCCTCCTCTAGAATACTTTCTCATTTCTCACCACTCCCTCTTCCTCCTGTCCTCGTCCTTCTTCTACTACCCCCCTCTATAAACCTTTTAAATACTCTTTTTTAACCCAACCAAGTGGGATCTACGTGATTCGGTCTGATCTCTCTTCCTCCTTCAGTTCCTTACTCTGATGATACCATCCTCTCCCAACAATGTCTAAAAACAAGTACCCAAAGTTTCCTTCAACAGCTGCTCCGATCCTTCGCACCTTGTCACAGATACATTCGAGTCCCATGCTCGTGTTTTATCTACCCGAAGGACTGCAAACCTCTTAATTCTTGGTCTGGAATTACTCTCATCTCGCCAGCTAATTACCCTAAGGATTGGTCAGCGTGTGAAACGACCAGTTTACCTGCCTCGTTAACGCTGATGTAGAAGCCATATTGCTAAGACTGGCTTCCGTAGACCTTATCCAAGAAATTAATATTTTCCACTCCTTCCTGGATGTTCACGTGACCATTTGCAACAGCAGTGTCCTTTTCCGGATCCTTCCCTTTATTGACGTTCTTCCTGATTCTTCACTTCCTTCCCCTGTTCCCTTGTCTCATTCCCCGACTCGTTTAACCTTATTCTCCGTCGATTGCTTGACGCCTCTTTTACATTTTTCCTCAGACATATAGATACTGTAATTTTATTCTAATCAACCTTTGCCATTCACCCTTTTACTAATCCTCTATTTACCGTTTTCAATACCATACTGTCAAATAGTTCTCTGCGATCTTTGGCATTCTGACACTTTTTATCCTAATCGTAATTTTATTTTTACTTTTTGCTACAATACTTTACA